ACTAAAGTAAGAAAAAAATAGGTTTTTATATACTATCGACAACGCTCTACAACATAGTCATCTTGATTTTGCTTGATTTTGTGATCATACTTCGCCAAAAAAATCTACCGTTACGTGGACTGGCCGATTTAGTTTTAAAAATGTTGAATGGGATAAAACATTAACGAGACCTAAAAATCATATTGATGTTAAAAACAACGATTGACACAAAGAGAGGTTAGTCTGACTTATTTACTTATTAGTTTTTCCTTCTCTATTCGAATGTACTCTAGAAGAACGACAATTCTTAATTTCGTCTGATAAGTGTATGAGTGCAGAAAAACGATTAAGTAACAATTACTTACCTGAATATAGTAAAAAATTGATAACTGGTATTGACTGAAAGGTTATGTTCGGTTACAAAAGGAGAAAAGTGGAAGTAGGTGTTTCGTTTTAGTTTGATTACTTTTTGATGATTGTAATTTTCTACGTTTTTTAATAAGGTATTAACTGTTTTTCATGTTAAATCGTTGCTTAAAGAAAAGAATAAACGCGATGAGTTGATCGAATCGAAACTTGAAAGTTTGTAAGTTACCTATAAATGTTGTTCAATATAATTTTTGGCGCTCTGTTACTAAGATAATTTAGAAAAAAAATATTCTGTTTCGTTTATTATCTCATTGATATATCTCGAAACGACTTATTGAAAAGAAGACAATTTCTTTTTGGAGTGTTTTTTTTTTCTCCTAATATTCAAAAATGCAAACATTCTATTGTTATGAACCAGCTTATACCTATGATCAACAGCAGAGTAATCAATATTGTTCCTCCCCGTCGTTCCGTTCATCGTGTCCCTACTCTTATTCTAGCGCATCAAAAGAGAATTGTCCATTATCTGGTTCAAATAAAAATGTGTTAAAAGTTGAAGTAGCACATGGGAGCGATAGACATCAAATACAATTAAATTGTGATCAAGACATTAAAGTATCTCATTTACAAGATGAAATACAAAAATTAACAGGTGTGCAAAAATGCAATCAACGACTCTATTATAGTAGGTTACTAAATATTTCCATGAACATTTATTAATTAAAACTAGAAATGCTATTTTAGAGGGACAACACTTAGAACACTGTCCTTCTAGTCGATTGGTAGACTTTTATGTATTCAATAACTCAAGCATGTTATTAGCTGGATATCCTCCGAGTAAACATGATCCCAATTGTTCTGAATGTAATATTTGTTTGAAGAAATGTCGTGGTGAACTAAAGTGTGAAAAATGTCCGTAAACAAACAACTGAAAGCAATAATATTACATGAGCACAAATAATGTGTTGAATACTATATTATATATAGGGTAAACTTATTAATCAGTTTTCTATTTGTTTCATCATAATAAAAGATGTTGAAATGTGTTTTCAGACAGAAGATGATCAGACCATTGTGTCATCATTTCCTGTTGGGAAAATGCTGAAAATTAAAATTTTTCTGTCGACGTATAGGAAAAAAGAACAGGCAATGAAGAAGAACTAAATGTACTACCAATAATTAGTTTTTCTTATATCCTCTATCTATTCGTTTAGAATGAAGAAAAAGAACTGAAGATAGTAACTTTAATAACTAGTCGCTACAGTTTCGAGTAACAGTCCATTGTCAGAAACATAAAAAAGAAGCCAGCTGATTTACTTAAACTTGATCATTAGTGAAGGAAATGCAGTGAAAATCTTTTCATCTACATTGTTTCTATGCCTAAAGAGAAAAAAAAAAATGATGTGTGAAAATTCTAAAGCTTCGTTTATTCGGAAAATATTGTATATTTTATAAGAGTAAACGCTATTGAGTAAATCCGTCGGAAACCTAATTTTTAAAACGATACCGTTCTCGTTCTGGGAATTTTAGAACGGTTACATCTTTGAATTGAATAACTAGTGAATAATATTGAAAGTAAATCATATGTAAATAATATTGAGTAAAATGATAAATATTAATACAATTAAAAATGAAGTAACGCCGTCATATTTACATTCAAGTGGACCGATAAGTACATTTGCTTCTTTAAAAAGAAAAGATGAATTAAACGTTCCAATGCCAACAATTATTTGTAAATTTACTGTATCACCAGAAACTGATAAAGTGATGTTGTTGTGTATTTAGCTCTATTTGGACTTCGCTTTCATATTATATATGGATTCAGCATAAAAAATTACCTATAGAAATAAATTTTTATAAATTCTCAGTGAAAACTGTGGATGAGAATGCCTGTAAAACAATCGGATCTTTCAAAATCTTACCCCAAGATCCACACATCAGACAATTTATTTATCCTATTTTGTTAAGTTAGCACATAGGCACCAATATATACTTTTTTGTTGCTACTACATCTGTTATGATTAAAATATAACTAACTACATTATCTTTTCCTATCTTACAAATCAACGTGGACGTTTAGGATATTATAAAAAAAATTTTAAAAAATTGTGAAAATGACAAGTTAATAATGCAAACCTCCACAAAGTGTTTTTATTTAAAAAAA